CCATCCACACACAATGAAATGTACGGTGGTGGGATTATTGAATTTAGATTTAGGATCAACATATGTCATGTCACAAACAGGTCTGACTCCCTATTTGATCACAAACTGCCATCAGACTTAAAAAACAGAAATCCAAATACGCTGAGTTCTAGTGCTGCAAAGAAAATGCCGTGAACACTAGTCTAGCTACAGAGTATATGACAATATATTGTATTTAACCAAGCTCATAGTGGGCTAATGATTTATTATCTGTTCTGAAACATGTTATCAGCTCAGAAGATCATTAATGTTGAAAGGACAATTGGCATAAATTGTATTTCAGCCAACTGGCTTTTTCACCAAACTGCCTTCTTTGGTGCGGCTCTTTCCAGTCACTTTAGACTCAGTTAAAAGTCTTTTTTTAATCTTTTAGTTCACCAAGTGAGGTCAGGTCAGTGTCCCCTCTCAAGGCTAATACTGTTTGTTTGCTTTTTCTGTTTTTAACACATATGCTGCAAAGTGTTATGTTCTCAAAGTGCTATTTAAGTTATTCTTATTATTCAGTGACTTAGCGGGTGTAGTTCTGAGTAAGTGTTATAAAAAAAACGAAAGTCACACGTACACATGCACTGTAGGGTGTCAGATAAGACATTTTAACTGGGTCTGAAATCAAGGAAGACATTTTAACAAGACCGTAAAAGGAAACATCAAGTGAGGACACTAACTGAGCTTTCAGACACATACACATAGTTTTTGTCTTTAGTAGTAACTTTGTAAACAAGATTGTTGTGACTGTTTATAAATCGCTGATTTTAAGTTAATATGTTTGATTCTGTTTGCTTCCTCACTGCCTAGTAATGATTATTAGATTATTAGGTTGAATAGGCTCCTTTCAGGACTATCTTTATCCCCCTGGTTTGTTTTATTCAGTCACTTGTATTCCCTGGTCACATGCTAGCATCGCACTGCTCTGGCTTTATTTGATCATGTTTGGAATATGACCAAAGAAAGAAAGACTTTATATTACCTTTCACTGTTTGCACACAAAGTAGTAATACTTGGCTGCATGTCCTGATACATGAAACACATTCCAGTCATTTTGTTTAGGGCAAATTTGGTTTCAGAGAAATGTCTCACGTTCTTCATGCAGAGGAAGTGAAAGAACTTTTTTCAGTACTGAGTATTGTTTGCCGTTTATCTCACAGGCAGCACACTGCATCAACAACTTCCACCAAAAAGATAGGACTGCATCTATGTTTCCAGAATGGTGATACCCAGGGCAAAGAAGTCCTATAGCTCACTAGTGCTCTAAAAATACTTAAGATACATTAACTTTATAACCAGCTCGGAGCTTCTCCCATCTAGATTTTCACTGTTAGACAATAAGAGGACACTGGGATCATTTAGTAAGTGAATCCATCTGAAACAGTACAAAACTTTATTTGTATAGCACATTTCATACACAGAGGCAATTCACAGTGCTTTACTTAGGCAAAGACAAACAGCAACATTAAAAACACAAAGTATTAAAATCAGAATAAAATCTATTAAGTCAAAATAAGATCAAACACTGTTAAAATGGAGATAAAACACATCAAATGAAAATAAAACCAAATAGACAAAGTAAAAGAAGTTTACCTAGCAGTCACAGTGCAGCTGTTGTAAGTTGCTCTGAGTGTAAAAGATGAAACCAAAGTGCAGCATAGAAACCAGTCAATTACAAGAGAACAGCAGAGTTTCCAGTTTAGACTTGAAAGTGTTTAAAGTTCCATACAATACCCTAGTGAAAATTAGATTAAATGTTATTCAGGTATTTTAAAAAGACATAACATGGGATATATTATACATCTAATATAAAGACAGATGACAATCGTAATATAAGGCATTACTATTACAGCATCCAAACACCAACATTGTTGATAGATTCACATGTTTATGCTTCCTCAGGCCATTTATTACTTTACTCTCTGTGTTGAATTGAAATGTGAATGTCTTAAAGAATAGAAATCAAAACAGTTCCCCTCTTTTACAGATTAGTTCTCACTTATTTAGGGGATTCGTTTTTTAACACTTGTTATTCAATAGAGTCTTTGCTTGGATGCTCAACTTTTAAATTCAGTCTCATATTGCCAAATCGTTTAGACATTAATGATGGTGTTTCTTGTATTTTCTTGTAAATTTTAATTTTGCATGTTTTGTTTAGTAAAAAGAGCACAATTCAGATTGGAACAAGTACTAGTACTCCTCAATGTATAGACCACCTTACATGGATCACCAGATTCCATCTTCTGTATCTCTATGACTTTAAAGACCTCGTAAGGAGGAATTAGCACTTCTCTTTCAAGCTCTCCTACCCTAGAGTACCTTGAAATGTCTGCTCCATAGCAAGTGGTAATATTAAAGCATGACTTATTTCCAAATTTTTCAGGACTGGGGTAATCCCCCCATGAACTGGAGGTGAACGAACCAAAGCGAATCTCCTTGTTGAGTACTTCTGTGCTAAAGTAGGCGTCGACTCTACGGTAGCTAGTGTTACATTCTTTTTTTTCTTGTTTTAGAATTTGAAGGGCATTCGTCAGATAAAAGTGAAGCGCATGATACCTGAATTTGGTTGTGTAATGATATCTCTCACTTCGACATGCTTTATTGAAGTCAAGATAGATTTGAGGTTTGTTGATGGTATAAACATAAATGGCCATAATCTGTTCTTTTTGCAGTGGTGTGGGATGTTTCTTTTTAGGTTTAGGCTTCCATTTCTCGTTGTAGTATTGCTCTGCGTCACTCCAGGCCTGCTTGAAATCTTGGTTGCTGTTTTTTTCATTATCCAGGTACGTCTTCACTTTGTCCTTCATCTGCTTTTCACAGCCATTGTACATGTCATCAACAGAGTTTTCAGCCATGTCCAATGGAAGTTTATGATTTGACCCATGTGCTGCAGAGTGCTATAAAAAAGACATAATGAAAACTTGGTTTATGGTTACTTTACCTACAGATATTAGTGTGCAGCAGGTACACCTAAATCATCATCTAGCTTATACGGTACCATTGCAGTTCCTGTAGAGAGTCCATAAATGATCAGAATTGAGGCCCAAACTGCCATCTTTTCCATCTTCCACCAGAGCAGGAACCTGTACAAACAGCTGTTGAATAAATGTCTCGCAGATTGTTGAGCAGTGCTTCACAATCTGTCTGCAGTCTTCACTGGCAAAGTGAGTACAGTTCACTTATATAGTAAGTAGTTAGGGGAGTTAAACATTGGGTGTAAGATAAGACTGCTGATTGCTATCATATAATGAGGAAGAGACAATTTGACAAAATAGAAACAACCATAAAAGGAAACACAAGGGCTTGTACTGTGACATTTGCTACAGGGCACGTGACAGTTCTAAGCAAATCTACCAGCACGGTGGCAGCAAAGCTTTAGGCTGGAGGTGAGAGAGCTAAAAGCTCTGAGCACAGCTTGGCTAAAATATCTGTGCAGTCTCATCTTTGACATTTGCAAGTGTTGCAAGTTTGAATTTCATGCACCCCACATTGCACCCAGTTTCATAGTATTAGATAATGTCTTTTGCCTTGTACTAAAATAAAAGTTTGAATTTCATGAGTCAGAAAAAAGTGAAGTGCATTAGGCCTGAATTTTGTCCTGTTCCTAGAATTCTTGGTTCACAGGAGTCAAACAGTCAGGAACAAAGAATCAGTGATTATGGCTTGCTCACTGCTTAGTGGTGTATTTCTTTTTTGGCTTTCTTTGTATATTAAAGGATGCAAAGCACTTAAATGCAAGTTTATAATCTTCTATCAAGTTTGACCAAACAGAATGCTAAGCAAAAAATAAAACTAAAGACTACATATTGCACTGTATATACAAAGTTTCAGACACTAATAATAGTTACTTATGTGGTACAGACAGGTGACAAGTTAAAGGAACAACCTGAATAAATGAGTGGTCTCTTCCAGGATGGCAGTGCCCCGTCCACGGGGCTCGGGGGCTCACTGAATGGTTTGATGAGGATGAACATGATGAGGATCATATGCTGTGGCCTTCACAATGGCCAGATCTCAATCCAAATGGACAGCTATGGGAGATTTTGGACCAATGTGTTTGATGATGTCTCCACCACCATCATCAAAACATCAAATGAGGGAATATGTTTTGGAAGCATGTGTTGATCCCTCCAGTAGAGTTCAGAGAGTCAATGCCAAGGTGTACTGAAGATGTTCTGGTGGCGCGTGATGGTCCAGCACCTTACTGAGACTGTATGTTGGGTTTCTTTTTAATTTATCACCTGTCTCTGTATTACTCTCATATGAGCTCAAGGTCGTACAGTGACCAGCTACATGCCTTTGTAATCACACAGGGGGAGCTCTATACACCCATATAATTTTACTTTGTCATTGATTATATGAGTAATCTATGCAGGGGAAAAGTAAAAACAGATGAGCACAATTAATGAAACAAAGGTAATATATCTTTATAAAGTCCAGCAGTTTTAGCAACATCACTTTTCTACATTCAATTTAAATGCAGATGGCATGGATAATACAAAATCATACTGCAGCATTATAAGGGCTGGAGACTATATACATACAGTAAAACCTTGGATTGTGAGTAACCTGGTCTGAGAGTGTTTTGCAAAATGAGCAAATTTTAAAATAAATTTTAACTTGATAAACGTGCGAGGTCTTGCAATACGAATAGTACGTACGCTTTGTCTGCCAAGCGTCACGTCACAACTGAGCAGATGGTTCTCATACCTCAGTGGTATAGTCAACATCTGTACTGCAATGGCCCCAATAAAAAAAAAAAGGGTTGAAAAGAAACGGTGGTAAGAAAAAGGAGATGATTACAGTGGAAGTTAAAAAGGAAATCATCGAGAAGCATGAACCAGATATGCCAGGTAAGTGGCCGACATCTCAAGATTTTATAAGGGAGATGTGTAAAATCCGCCAAATCCTCAAAATGAGGTAAAAAGCAAGTGCCATTGGATAGGTTCCTGGTTAAAGTCGCACAAAAAGAAAGATTTCAGTGAGCCAACAGATAGCTCCTCTCTCACGTCTCCCTCACGCCAGCCACGATTCTTTTCAAAGGTAAAGTGCAGGTTAATTTGTTTAATTTTTAATTTATACTGTAATCATTTTTGTATGAATAAGTGGTTGTGGAACGAATAATCTGAGTTCCCATTATTTATTATGGGGAAATTCGCTTTGATATATGAGTGCTTTGGATTACGAGCCCGTTGCCGGAACGAATTATACTCGCAATCCAAGATTTCACAAATCAATACCCATATGCTTTTGGAAAATAATATGAAGTCAAATATTACTGTACATGTAAAACATAAGAACACATGTAAAGACAAACCAGTGGTGTTTTGTTTCTGGGAGTATGTTTTGTACAAATGGAAATAAAACATGTTTTCATTACTAACTTCTCTTTGGTCCCACCAACACACTGTCACTCCTCTTTGACTCACTGGCCAACTCTCAACATTACTGCAATAACTGTCAGTACAAGCAGAGCACCATTCACTGCAGCCACGAAACACAACTGTCCGAGCTGTATAAGGACTGAAGAAATTATAATCCACAGTATTAAGTATGTTACCATCACAGCAGCACTGGTGGAATCACTGTGTGTTGTAACCACACCGAGATATGTACTTATCTCATTGTGATTCAACTTGCAGTTTAAATCTGTCCTTGGTATTTTGGTGCTCTGTATGTAAACCACTCTGCACCACGAGTCACTTGTCAACACATCTGTGATTCTGAAAACCTCATAGGGAGGAATCAGCACTTGTCCCATTTGCTTTGTAGCAGAGTAATACGCTACATCAGCACCGAAGCATGTCTGGATCTCAAAACAAGACACATTGCCGTTAAAAACAGACGACTGCTTAGTCAAACCTGTCAAAATAAAGCCACCAAAACGCATGTTTGTGTCGATGACGTTGTGGTTATAATGTCTCCATGTCCTGTGATAGGTGGTTCTGCATGGTTTGTGCTTGTGATGCAGAATCTGGATGGCGTCAACCAGGTAAAAGTAGAAATAGTGGAATTTAAATTTATTTGTGCTGTACTTGTGTTTCCCAGTTATTACTGCCTTATTGAAAGTTTGTTGGATATATTTCACCTTTGTGTACATGTATATAACTGTAGCATGTTCTGTTTTTCTTTCAGTTGCTTGTGCAGAGGTTTCTTTACGCCTCTTTCAGCTGAAGCCCAGTAAAAATCGAAGGCTTGGTTGAAGTGCCACTCAAACACACCAACCTGGTCAATCATGGAGGCTGCTTCTGATCGGCAACCGTCATACATGTCATCAATTGATTCTGTCGCCATATCCAGAGGCAAACCATCAGTGTTATTTTTCTACAATGACAGGAAAGAGGGAACGTGAACACAGTTAGAAATTACAGAAGGTTTGGGATATTCACTGTAAATTTGCTGGCAAAAGTGTAACTGTCATGACTAAAGATGATTAAAGTTATATGTATATACACTGATCAGCCATAACATTTAGCAGATGTTTACATCTGCTGCACTGACTCCTGTGTGCACAGTATTAGGCAGGTGGTCATAATGTTTTGGCTGATCATTGTATATTTGCTTCTTTAGACACAAATAACTAATTAAGTTAGGGTTAGTGCACATTTAATTGTCATCTCACCTCAGGCCACCAGAGTATTAGAAGAGGATCATAATACAATAGGAGCACCACTGACAGCAACACACAAAGAACTGCCCAGTTTCTCAGTGATTTCCATGCACACACTGGTCTTTTGTCAAGCTCCATGTCTGAATGGAAAACAAACACATCTCACTGTAGAACTAAAAACAACTCTTTACTCGTTACATTTTTTTTTCTAATTTCTTTCAGCAGCATAGTTGTTTATCAGACATTTTGTTATTTTATTTGCATGCACATTGACTCATTTTGTATGTTTCAATCTGCATGTGATAACACTAGCTTGTGGGCGGCAATGTAAGATTGCTATTACCAGGAAGCATACGATAGTTACTTGTTATCTGATCCTTCACTAAACATTCTTATATTTTCCATCAACAATATATCAAATCTAAATGTTTTGACTTACTTTTTCTCTGTTTTTAAACAGCTGCATGGTATTTGTTTGAGGGAAAATTCTCAGAATTGTAGGAAGTGCAGCTACAGTGTCAACAAGGAAGTTCCAGCTCACAGGATTTACGATTCAGCTCAGAAATTCTTGTTCACCTTTGCTCAAAAGGTACCAGAGTTACTATGGATCCTAATGATGTTGAAACTGCATTTACTGTCTGATGTGAAACTAAAAACAAGTTTTTCCTTCTCTGAGTTTACAGGATTTGTATAAGATCATGCACACAGGCAAGCTTTGTTCACACTGGCTCTAACATATCCCTATCTGCTTTGACAGAGGGCGGTCCTACATGTGGTAACACTAGTAAAACACGTTTGGCAGCTTGCTCAGGTAACAACAAAGGCGGGTCACTGGATTGCAAAACACCAGAGGCACAGACTAAAAGTGAAGACATTTTTCCTCTTGAAATGGTCTTGTGTTTATCTTCTCAGAGGACACTTCACCATAGTGCTGCTCAGGATGTGGTAAGTTACAAAGAAGTGTATCATTTCTTTGAAAATGTAATCCTGGTACTTGATGCAAGTTTTTGCTGATAGTTAATGAGTCATAGCTGCAAAAGTGTGTGACTATAGGAAGGTGAGAGCCTGTCAAGCCGCCGTGATCCAGGAATGCTTCATTCATTTTCCTCTTTAGTAAATGAATAGACAATGAAGACAAATGGTGTACAAACACATTATAGTTTGAATTTATGCAGCGGTTTAAATGTTTCTTTGCCATCTCACCATCGCTCACCTGTAGCATCCAACTTCATATAAGACACATATTATTGCTGTCACTGAGGCACTGGA